AACTTCACGTGTGTCTTGGTGATTTTGATTGAAGTATGAAGCGGGAGTCCCTGCACTTATCGATGTCGATGCGACTTGTCGATGTATCCATCACTCCAAACTCTTATCATCAAATCAGGTGAGATGAGATTGCGTTTGCTGTTGTCAGCTGATGAAACAAATCTATTCAGTTGACACATGTTCCCACTGTCTCATGCTGCTCATCGTCACTGTTTTTCCGTGTCTCGATTTCAGTATCAAGTATGGTGGATTGACTGTTGGAAAGAAAATGAAGTAGAAGGGAATTGCGCTGATCAAGTGTGGTTACTGTTTCACCGAATTCGATCTGTTGGAGCCAACTTCTGAGAAGCTGGCAGCGAAGAAGAGATCTAGACCGGTCACCACATACCCAATCTCCGAATTCAAACGTTGTGCACTTCGTTTTTCCTCTCTGCTTGAATTTCAAAAGGTTAATCTCCAATTTATGCCTGATATTTTTTATTGTTTCTGTCCCTTTCGTTTCCACATTTTCATACTCTACAACTGATGGTGCTTCCAGATCTTATCATGTACACGTGGTAGTGGTCTTTCACCACATATGCTGGAAAACGATGACTTTTTTGATGCTTTCTGGAAGGAATCAATGAAAGTTTTGCCTCTCACTTACGCTTCTTTAAAGTCATTCACCCCTCTAATAAGCAGCTATTTCTTTTTGTGAGACAAATAGTTTGTGAATCGTATGTTAATCGTCCTAATACCTAGCTGCTGAAGGCGAAATGCACATTCTTCACATTCGAAAGAATTACCCTGGTCTGTCAACATCTTGTTTGCAGCACCGTGATATGCGAAGGTATGTGGAATTAATGTCTCAATTAGAGGTTGATCTGGTGTCACACAGGTGTCTACCTATCATGTAAAGTGTTCCCTCATCACCAGTACTTACTTATAGCTACTGAATTTCTGCTGAAAAAGTCGCCTACTGCAGTAGCTGGAAACGGCTGCGAAGATGGTTATTTGCACCGTTCTCTCCAGCCAAATGAGGCTAGGGACAGCCAAGCGCATATTTCACAAAATCGTCTCTCACACCCGACCAGAATACAATTTGTCTCAGGAGGTCAGCTTTTCTGGATAAACCTTTGTATTCTCCCGTGGCTTAAAAGTAGGTATCACCAGCAGTCAAATCACATCACTCTCTCACCAGATCAGAGCTTTGTATGGATTCAGTATTATTCATTCAATCTGCCTGAGCAACATGGTTAGCTCTTTATTGGTGTTAATCGCTTGCGGTACTGGATTGAGGGTAGGGTCCAGCTTTTAACAACTTGCTAGTCTTATTGCATTTTGTTCTAATGCAGGTAATTCAAATGCACTCTTAGGTAACTCAGATTCTTTCTTCGGCTTAGATAAGTAGTTTGTCGACAAACTTTATTTTACTACGATGCTGAAGATCATGAAATCGTACTCTTATAGGAGTAAAATCCACTACGACGGCTTTTCACTTGAGTCTAAAACTGTCTTCAGCACCTGTAGAAGCTTATGATGAGTTTCATCATGGAACTGCTATTATCAATATTCATCAGTCATTTGTAGACACTGAGGACTGTTTTCTAGGTATGTGGATTAATAATGTCATTCACTGCTAATCTTAAAGCCTTTTATTACGATAGGATATTTCCTGTGAATCTTTCGACAGGATGAACTTAAGTTCACCTAGTAGTCTGAATAGAGGAGCTGGTATCTCACTCAATTTCTTCAGAAGGCGACTACAAAACACTGATCATTCCAAGGACTGTCACAGTTTTCTCTAGGAACTTTGGGTAGCGATAGTCCGTATTGTAAGGAATTTCCCAGAAAAGGGTTAAATCTCACTGTTTTCCGAGTCCTTTCTTTTTAGTTATGTGAAGTTTAACTCTGATGATAAGGAGTTCACTGTGCCACAGAAAAACTTCTTATTGTTCCACCAAGTCATTTTACGTCTGACTATATACGAACATGCCATCATTCTAAAACTTTATTTTCTAAATCCTTAGGAAGTAATGTTATTAGTCCTCTTAATGTAATAGGCATACTAACCAAATTGAGGGGCAGAAATTGAAGTCAGCACTGCTTTTGCCCCATAAAAAACAAAATCTTATATCCATTGCACTCTGATGTAAGGGTCTATGAAAGTAAACAAATCAGCATACTGTAGGCGATCCCAGGATTTTTCAACAGTTGGCATGATGGTCAGTCTCACATCTGCTGTACTACTCACTTCCAGAAACCAAAACAAAATCTGTACTTCTTGTCGAAACTCTCCTCGGGAAGACTGGAACTGAGTGCAGACAGTTGTCGCCATCAATTATCCCCTCTTAATTAAAATTCTGCGGATTTTTCGGTTCACATCCTCTAAATTTACAGAAACTTGTTGTGTTGTAAAGGTTACATCCCCCTGGTTTCTAAGTTATATCTCATAGTGTAACTTATCTAAAAACCCTACGGATCTGCGTTTTTGAAGAACAAGCTAGTATAATTAATCATCAACTCCTTGATAATTCGGAATATTAATTTTAAAATTTGACCTTCTGGATTATTAGGACGATAAAATATGTCTCTCAGTTAGATTGTTAAATTGAACAGGAGTATAACCGCAGACTTATTGTGCATCCTAACCAGGACCTCTAGTGTTTAATCTAACACAGACGAAGATTGTCGAGGCATTAAGCCTCTCACAAATTATGGTGCACATTATATAGTCATTGTAAATCGACAGTGTCGACTTGTTACGTATGAATGTAACGCATTATGCTGTTCACCGTGAAGTCGATTTCCTTAACGTCCACCTTGAGCATGAAATCTCAACAGGCTTCAAATTAGTTTGAGAGTAGAATTCAACTCTGTGGAAAAATATTCCTCCATTTTCGATAAGTGTATTCATTATAACACACAGGGATAGAGTAATATTAACTGGATGATATTTCAAGCAAAACTCATTGCTTATCCTCATATCGAAATATTATCAAGGCTTCATAACTGGCTTTGTCAAGTTTTAATGCAATGTTCCATATATGTATTCAGAACAGGTATTGCATGATTTTTCTGTTGATTCAGTGAGTAGAGATTCAATGATTAAACTCACCATGTCTCAATCTATTTATATGAAGTTTGAATGCATTAACCTTATCACAATGCACTGTAAAATTGTGTGCATGTGAAACCGTTGCAATTGCCCACATTATACAGTATTGTTTATTTAAAAACGCCAGCCATTCTAACTCAACCCAAGTATACAAAGAATAATCGTCCTCGTAGACATTACATAGTACCTTGTGAATTACATTAATTTTCACAATTGGATCATTCGGTTCATGATACGACAAAGTAGGTCTCTCAGTTAGATTGTTGGATTTACCAGGAATATAACTGTAGGCTAATTTTGCATCCTACCAAAAACTCTGGTGTTTATCCTTCACAGAGGAGGATTGTCGAGGCATCAAGAACTTCATTGATTCGACTGTCTCCGTTATTCAATTTAGTGCTCTCATTTATCGAATGTGTCTTCATGTCAGTACAATCGAATCGAGACGTTGGCTGATCGCCTAATGCAGGAAGCGGAAATCAAATCATGAGAAGGTAAAAATTTATTAAAGCAAGTTACGAAGTTATGTGAATGTATTGAAAAGTTTATAAGAAATTAATTCTACTCAAAATGTAACTCAGTTTTCATACTCTATCACAATAAGTTATACCCAAAACGTTTATCCAATACAGAAGCCAAATAATTGATTTTGTAACATTTCAAGCGTTATATGTTCTTACTGAAAGAATCACATGAGGCAACAGAACACGGAAACTGGATCCTTAAAAATGAATACCGTCTCACAATCTCGCATAGGGATAGTCGAAATGTACACAAGTCTAGAACAGATTCTGAATCAATCTCGCTGCAAGAATTCTGAGTCATATGTCCTACATGGCACATAGGATCCAATCGTGAACAACATAGAAATATAAGCTAAACAACTGGCCGAAGAGAATCCTCATTGTCACCACATCACTGTTCATCTGCATGATAGTCATTTATAAGCAAAGAGGCGATATCTGAAATATTCAGAACGCAAAGATGACTATGGCACGTAAAGGCATACACTCACCCTGGAGATACACGGTGTTGTTTGTGTAGGGACAATGAGATCTCATCAAACAGAATAATTCATCCAAGCTGGTAATATTCAGTGAACGTGCAATTCAACACATCGGTCTCAGGAGTAGACCAGGATAAGAAGATTGATGGAAATGATGACAATCAGACTCGAATACGAAACGATATGTAGATAGTGGTTGAGATATGAGGCAAAGTTCAGACAGACACTGACACAGATTAGGATGAGTGACTGACACAGAATGGCTACTGCAAGAGAATTCCTTCATCGAATCAACACGAAAGAGACGTAACAGGAATGACTCACCACCATTCTAGGGTGGCTGAAACGCCTGCTGTCGAACTGATAGACGAGGAAGGGAACTAAAATGGTCAAATGCAATTTTTAGACAACAAGTGTAAAATATCAACTGGAAATGAATATCAAACAATATCAAATATGATGCTTCACACACACAGGTGACACGCCTACACAGTAGGCATAATAACAGCAAAATACACACTGTCAACATCGCTGCCACATAAGAACAATAAATGCTGCACAGACATTCCCAAAATCAGTCGTTCACAACATTGCATGTTGAAGTGATATGTGATAAGTGATAAGTAACACCACCAGATTGATATGAAAACGGGTTAGTTCAAATTGCAATGACAGCTAACAATCAGGCGAATACTACCGGAAGATTGAAGATGACAATGACAGTAGTGTAGGTAAATACGAAACCAGCATAATCGAATATTCCAATCATGCAGAGGAGCGAATGACAATAAATACTGTACACCTCTCATCTATTCGTAAAACATAACTCACACGGAAATAAACAACAAACAAGAAGCTGACCGTAATCGATTTACTTATTTATTTATTTGTTCATCCCTTCGATGAGCATTAGTTGAGTAAATCTACAATCACAAATAACACCACATTTCACCACGACGAAAGAAGTGAAAAGTGATGAACTCCTCATAGAAAATGACTTTCATTCTTTCTTCTTATCCTTCACTTCCTTCGCTTCCGTCTTCGCGCCACTCTTCTTGCCACTCTTCTTCACATCAGGAAAATCACAGACACTGGAAATTGAAAAGCAAAAGCGATTTCGAGAAATATATGAACGTTGATAATCGTAATATACATCGCGATATATGGCATTCGGCTGATCAGGCCGAAAGATTGTGAATATAAGATGGTATTGTAAAGTGATCAAAAAAGATCATTCCTGGTTGTGAGTTATCTCAATAACGTGTTCACCTTGTTACACAATGATGGCGCGTCTCGTGTGAATGAAAACCTGCATCACAACATCCTGTCCACACTAAGAAGAATTTGTATGGTGTGCGTGTTGTAATGCATAAGAGAATCGATTACATTGTGGTGAAGTGCGAAGATGCTATGTGTCTGTCTCAATCGATAGCAATATGCAACGAAATGTCCAAACGACAATCAGCTATAAACTTCTCAAAACACAACACCCGAATCAAATCGCATATAATTACCTCAAATACACGAATAATTATATCCAGAAAGGATTCACGTATCACATGTGGAGTGACAATTATTGAGAAACGTATCATACATACACAAAAATGACACATTATCAGCCACCTATCAAAAAATCCATCCACACACAAATACACAAAAATAGACAAACAATAATCAGAAATAAAAACAACAAATAAAATCGAAGGAGACGATGATTAATATTTCCGAAATTCACGAAATGCTCCTCCTTATCAACCACACAAATATAGAGGAGAGAAAAAGAAAACGAGCGGTTATTTCACCAGAATCTGAAAGAAAACGTACGTGGTGACCTGTCGAGATCCCTTCTTTGCTGACAACTCCTCTGCAGTCGGTTTCGACAGATCGAATTCGGTGGAACAATAACCAGACTTGATTATCACAATTCCCTTGTCCTTCGCTCCAATAGTCAATCCACTATGCTTGATACCCCATGATCCTGAAATCACAGAAAACGAGACAAAGAGAGAGAGAGCGAGAGAGAAACACAGTGAGAATAAGTGATCAAATCAATTCAGAATGTAACAAATCGTAGTCAGCTGATCACTGTGCACTGTACACATGCTCATGCACCTGGCCAACCAAACGGTAAAACATGTCACCTGTGCGATGACTGATGCTTGTCGTGAGCGAGAATACTCGATTTCACCCATCACGTTTCAGATTTCAACACGCTGAATGTGACATTTTCAATTGGAGTGAAGTGGTAGAGAGAGGAGACGACCAGTGTGTGGTTCACGTTCTCGATAAAACTATGGATTGTCCATTAGACATCCTCATTAAATAAACATGCATCAACACAGATGAACACTTGAGTCTCAAGCTTCCACATAAATTGACATTATTATCTGTATCAGTGTGATAAACGTGAAAGCGAACTAAGCGCTCGATATGCGTCAATCATTTGAGTCAACACAAAAAGCACTGTCTCATTCTAATTCATTTAATCACATCGAAATCTCTGTCAGCATTACTCTGTCGCTTTTCAATTCATCCAGTGTACATTTCGGTACAGTCGACGTGTGAACACTTGTATCTTTGCCTGTGTAATCTTCGAATGAATACTCCGGTCAAGAGGGACGAAGCCTTCAAGTGAATCAATGGAAAAATAAATCATCAGATTCAACATCGGGATCAGTGTGTCACATCATGATACGATTCACTTGTGGAGAAGTGTGTCTGTGACCGTATAGTCAGGAAGCGTGTATGACAGAAAACTGAGTTGACCAACTCACAAGTGGACAAAGAAAAGCAAAAGCAACAACAACCGCAGAAAACAAATTCATCTGACTCACCATCTCCATCAATATGTAGTGGGAGTTTCCAAGATTTCTTCTCAGTCTTCATTTCGACGAGATGTGGTAGGAGGACACAGACCATGACAATGCACAACATCGACAAGTGTGCCATTCTTCAAATCCTGCATATAAAGCAAATGCATAAAACGGAGAAAAACTATTGAATGAAGTGTGGCTGAAATGGCAACACAAATGGAAGGTGAATGCGAGTGACGAAGATTGTAACCGACGCAAGTATATTTGACTTGTTCAGTTATTGTGACGGACATTGCTGTGAAAATCGACGACACACAGTTGAGATACCTGGCATCCTTCGTCACTGAAATGGCTGTGTGAAAAGGAAATGTGTTATTTAGGTGTGTGTGTGTGTGTGAAGTGAGTGACAAGATGGTGTGGTTGGTGAGATGGATGATGAATTGAAATGTCGGGTAGAAGGAGGATGTGATACTGAGAAGAGACATCGATTTGTAGAGAGAGAGTTGTGAATGTTGTTGTGTAACTCACTGGTTATGCTGTGATGAGTGGTGATTTGTATTGTGTTCCACTCTTGTATATTTATATGAATATGAATGAGGGTGAAACGTCATGCAAAAAAGGGTAGTGTGTACTGACCTATTCTGTGACATAAATCGAATCTGTCAATCGGTGGATTGTCACTTTCTTCTACACTCGATGATATCGTTTTGTCGATTGGAATTTTGTTCATTCTCTTAGTTCGTTTTAACTCACTTTGTTTTAGACATTTATTTCGGTGGATTCATAGGGTTTTAATGGGGATTCCCTGGCTCTTCGCCTGTATAACCTGTCCCCGACCCCAGTAATTCCCAAGTGTTGGGCGTCGGGTTAAATAGCTTCTCCTTGAAAACCAATGAAACCCACAAGAAAAATATTATCGATGCATAACTCTTTGCAGACATCTGCGCCTTCGGTACTTTGGTGATTAGAGGCAGTGTGTCCAAGCATAAAGATGTGTGCAATGCGACATTGATTCCACCTAACGGACACACCACAAACCAGGTAGATTTCGTCTAAATCTCAAAGAAGTGGAGACACGGCCTGCTACAACAACAGCACCACGCACGAAACTATCAGAGGATACGAATCCTCCAAAGAAAGCAGAATTGGCGAATGCATTCAAGCTCTTAAAGCCCTGGAAGGTAACGAGAATTAAGAGAATTCTCCTGGAAGCACTAAACGTTTATCCAGAAATCGCAGAGGATAAGCTAACGCTATTATTGCAAAAGGTTTGGAAGGAAGGAAAGATGTCTGCTGATTCGAAGACTGGTTGCCTTGTCAAACAATCGAATAAGGACAACCCAGGCCTCTCTCCGCAAGAACTGGCGTCGAATAATATTCTTATCCACGCCAAGTAAAGTAGTAAATCGTATCATCCTGCACGGGTGCAGAACTCCGCACAGAACAAGCTGGATTCTGGAATGGCATATCATGTGCTGATCAAATTGCAGCTCTATGCATCGTCACGGAACAAAGAATTTAGTGACAGTCAACTTCATCGACCTCGAAAAGGCCTTTGACAGACAACGCTGACCGAGAAGTAATTTTGTAACTAATTCAACTCTACAGCGTGCAGTGTCCCAAGTCTTTATCACTCTAATCAAACAGCTATGTGACAATGTCACGTGTCAGGTGATCCACAACGGAAGACTCAGTCAGGCGATTTAAGTAAAGACATTAGTGAGAAAAGTCTGACTCTAGAACTATAGAAAAACAAAGTCAGACTGATAAAATCGATGACATTCAAAGTTGTAATGGACTGGATTATGCGTCGGATTGTTCACTGAGGGCGGGGATCTGGATTTCGTAGATGATATATGTCTAATATCACACAAACCTGGAGACGTGCAGTCAAAAACTAACAAACTTTTCGAAGTGGTACAGAGAAGACAGGATTGCAAATGAACACAGAAAAGACGGGGATGATGAAGATAATCAATCAGACAGCGAACAGTAACTACAACCAGCACCAATCTCTCACATTTGGGGAAACTAGAAATAGGTTGCTTCCTTCACTTATCCAGCCAGAAAGGATCGATTCAGCCAATGACATTAGGAACGGATGAAGGTGGCAGAGGCAGCCAGCCACAATCGGAAGGGCAAGATATGCCTTCATCAACTTGAAACCAGTTTGGATATCTTCTCTAATCCACCTCAGAATAAATAACCAGGATCGGATTTTTAAAACAAACGTGAAGTCAATTCTTCTATATGAGTCAGAAACGTCGATTACATACGAGTCAGGAGAAGGATTTTCAACACGTTGCAGACTTTTATCAACAGCTGCCTTTGCTGAAGAAATGCATACTGAAGATCGAATGGCCAGAGAGAATTAGTAATAATAAGTAACCAAGAATTTACAAATATGCACAAAAATGCAAGCGGAATGTTGAAAGCAACAACCAACATTTGAAAACAGAAAAATAACCAATGTGCAAAAGCTATTTCGACGCTACTTTTATTGTCTTTCCTGCTGATTCTGAGTAAAATTTATTCTATGCATGTTTACCAATAGAACCGTTCAGTTATATCCACAATGGAAGTAAGAAATAGATGAAAGAGTCACGATTCTTGACATCCAACTGACAAGAAGAGACGAAGAAACTCTCAAAAGCTCTATCCAGAGAAATCCAAAAGGAACAATAATAATAATAAATGCTTGATTTTTTCAGTTTATATCTAATCGATGTCACATAGTTTCGTAATATTCATCACAATTTATGAAATCTCAGCACTTAGAGATTTAACTCAATATCACTACACAGTGTAGTCAGAACAGCATGATTTTTGAGAATACGATTGTTCTTGATCGCATGCGCTACAGTTATAAATCCATGAATAGTAGAAACAAAACAGCTGCTGGTGGGAAATAAAAATTATATCAGAAACTGTATTCGGATAAACGTATAAGGCAGAATGATAGTCGATAAGTTAATATCGTCAACTGCATGTATGTAAAACGAATAGTCAATCAGAAACAGACAACTTGTGAGTAGAAAATAATGGTGATAAAAGCAGTGTGAGTCGAACGTTTCTAAAAATAAATAGAGAATATGATGATATGACAGTATAAGATTACATGAAAATATCAGATGATTTTCTCCCTAATGACCTGATGGAAAGTCAGAATGAGAAGAGAGGATGAATGTGTATCTATCCTACACGTATGTCATGCTTCTCCATAAGGGAATCTACAAATTCACCTATGGCTGATAAACGGACTGAAAAGAGATTTTAAAAGAACATCCGCTACATTATGTGAGTAGAATACAAATCATCAAGGGGACACAACCCGCATCAACATAAACGATATCATCGAGCGTAGAAGAAATCGACAATCCACCGATTGACAGATTCGATTTATGTCACAGAATAGGTCAGTACACACTACCCTTTATGCATGACATTTCACCCTCATTCATATTCATATAAATATACAAGAGTGGAACACAATACAAATCACCACTCATCACAGCATAACCAGTGAGTTACACAACAACATTCACAACTCTCTCTCTACAAATCGATGTCTCTTCTCAGTATCACATCCTCCTTCTACCCGACATTTCAATTCATCATCCATCTCACCAACCACACCATCTTGTCACTCACTTCACACACACACACACACCTAAATAACACATTTCCTTTTCACACAGCCATTTCAGTGACGAAGGATGCCAGGTATCTCAACTGTGTGTCGTCGATTTTCACAGCAATGTCCGTCACAATAACTGAACAAGTCAAATATACTTGCGTCGGTTGCAGTCTTCGTCACTCGCATTCACCTTCCATTTGTGTTGCCATTTCAGCCACACTTCACTCAATAGTTTTTCTCCGTTTTATGCATTTGCTTTATATGCAGGATTTGAAGTATGGCACACTTGTCGATGTTGTGCATTGTCATGGTCTGTGTCCTCCTACCACATCTCGTCGAAATGAAGACTGAGAAGAAATCTTGGAAACTCCCACTACATATTGATGGAGATGGTGAGTCAGATGAATTTGTTTTCTGCGGTTGTTGTTGCTTTTGCTTTTCTTTGTTGACTTGTGAGTTGGTCAACTCAGTTTTCTTTCATACACGCTTACTGACTATACGGTCACAGACACACTTCTCCACAAGTGAATCATATCATGATGTGACACACTGATCCCGATGTTGAATCTGATGATTTATTTTTCCATTGATTCACTTGAAGGCTTCGTCCCTCTTGACCGGAGTATTCATTCGAAGATTACACAGGCAAAGATACAAGTGTTCACCCGTCGACTGTACCGAAATGTACACTGGATGAATTGAAAAGCGACAGAGTAATGCTGACAGAGATTTCGATGTGATTAAATGAATTAGAATGAGACAGTGCTTTTTGTGTTGACTCAAATGATTGACGCATATCGAGCGCTTAGTTCACTTGCACGTTTATCACACAGATGCAGATAATAATGTCAATTTATGTGGAAGCTTGAGACTCAAGTGTTCATCTGTGTTGATGCATGTCTATTTAATGAGGATGTCTAATGGACAATCCATAGTTTTATCGAGAACGTGAACCACACACTGGTCGTCTCCTCTCTCTACCACTTCACTCCAATTGAAAATGTCACATTCAGCGTGTTGAAATCTGAAACGTGATGGGTGAAATCGAGTATTCTCACTCACGACAAGCATCAGTCATCGCACAGGTGACATGTTTTACCGTTTGGTTGGCCAGGTGCATGAGCATGTGTACAGTGCACAGTGATCAGCTGACTACGATTTGTTACATTCTGAATTGATTTGATCACTTATTCTCACTGTGTTTCTCTCTCTCTCGTTTTCTGTGATTTCAGGATCATGAGGTATCAAGCATAGTGGATTGACTATTGGAGCGAAGGAGAAGGGAATTGTGACAATCAAGTCTGGTTATTGTTCCACCGAATTCGATCTGTCTAAACCGACTGCAGAGGAGTTGTCAGCGAAGAAGGGATCTCGACAGGTCACCACGTACGTTTTCTTTCAGATTCTGGTGAAATAACCGCTCGTTTTCTTTTTCTCTCCTCTATATTTGTGTGGTTGATAAGGAGGAGCATTTCGTGAATTTCGGAAATATTAATCATCGTCTCCTTCGATTTTATTTGTTGTTTTTATTTCTGATTATTGTTTGTCTATTTTTGTGTATTTGTGTGTGGATGGATTTTTTGATAGGTGGCTGATAATGTGTCATTTTTGTGTATGTATGATACGTTTCTCAATAATTGTCACTCCACATGTGATACGTGAATCCTTTCTGGATATAATTATTCGTGTATTTGAGGTAATTATATGCGATTTGATTCGGGTGTTGAGTTTTGAGAAGTTTATAGCTGATTGTCGTTTGGACATTTCGTTGCATATTGCTATCGATTGAGACAGACACATAGCATCTTCGCTCTTCGCCACAATGTAGGCGATTCTCTTATGTATGACAACACGCACACCATACAAATTCTTCTTAGTGTGGACAGGATGTTGTGATGC